TGCGGTTGCCTTAGCCTGTTTCCCTGGGGCCCCTTTCCTGGTCAGGAGTTTATGTTCCTTTTCCAGCCTTCTTAGACCGGGAGCTGTGATCCCACAGCGCCATACATTTGTGGGAGAAGTTCTGTTTGACTCTTCTTTCCTAGCTGTGGAGTTCCTGCCACCTCTCGGCTTCAGAGGGTAAACCCTCGTCAAGTGTGGACCACATCAGTTCCCATCACCTCGCGGGAGTGGCCTCTTCCTTGGTCCTTTTCTTGCTCTGGAGCACAACAGACTCAGGGCCTTAGCCTCACCACTTTGTTTCTGATTTGCTGCTTGTTTGCAGAGAGGGTTATTTGGTATCTGTATTTTAGGGGCTTTGCCCTTTATTTAAAGTAAAAAGAGTGTCTTAAGGCAAGAATGCAGAATGCCATCTTGGGCAGAAGTTCTTAACAGTGAATTTTTAGAAACTTGGCTGTCTCAGATTTGGAGACCTCAGTACGAAACAAACCTCTGAGAGATACTATCTCATAATGGATAAAGAGAAAATGCTTATGTATGTTAGCCACTAGACCGTAACATGTTAAATATTGTTCTAGAAAGAATTCAGACAGGTAGTCCTTAAAATAGACATATCGGACTTATTACTATTCTAATTAATGTTCCTGTCACCCAACTGGAACCTGTACCTTTGGTAGTGCTGCAGTAAGTGTGTGTGTGTGCGTGTGCGTGTGTGTGTGTGTGTGTGTGTGAGAGAGAGAGAGAGAGGGAGAGACAGAGAGACAGAGTGTGTGTGTGTGTGTGTGTGTGTGTGTGAGAGAGAGAGAGAGAGAGAGAGAGAGAGAGAGAGACAGACAGAGAGACAGAGATAGAGGTAAGGAAGGGATTGTGGTTCTGATTATCAGATGTTATCATATCTATGCTGGTGGCAGAAAGGACTCACATTTGGACGTATTTTAGCAAAGCAATAGTTTAGAACATACTGAGTTTCAGACAAGCCTGTGTGAGACCCTTTGGACCCTGAATCGTGGGACTTCCTGTGCCATTCTCATAAAGCATTGTGTAAGACGTATGGGAGCATAGTTAATACGTAATTAATTATTACTTTGTTAAAATTCCACAATAGGTGATAAAGGCAAAATAAAAAAAAAATTATGAGAGTAGGTGCCTGTCCCAGTGTAAGTAAAGTGACAATACAAAGCAATTATGCAGAGAAGCTCTGCATGAGAGCCAGGGCTTTTCACAGGAAGTTTAGTGTCAGCTTCTGACTAAGTCAGCTTCTGACTTAGATCCTGTGTGTGGCACGGGTTTGGCTAGTGTACTGAATGATTAAGTTTCAAATAACTAAACTTACAATACAGTTATAAAAGCTACAGCGTAACTTATCTGTTGTGTAACCCTGAACAAATTACATAACTGCTCGGTGTTTCCTCATCTATAAAATGGGGGTAATAGTGGTGCACACATTGTTGGGGTGTCCTGAGTATTAATTGAAAGTATATGTAGAGGGCTGATAGCTGTGCCTGGTACATGAATACTTAGGTAATGTGAGCTATTATTATGAATACATTTAGGAGGGATTAATAATTCATGTATAAGTTGTCAAAATACATTCGATTGTAATAATTTATTAATTTATTCAAACACCAAACAGTATGTATTATTAACATTGAGTATCAACCAGATGAATACATTTTAGCCTGGTAACATCTTTGAAATTGTGGGGAATTGATGTAATAATCAGATATTTGTATTTGATATTTTGGTGATAAATTCATTTAAAATTCTACCCAGGCAACAGAGCAAGATCCTGTCTGAGAAAAAAAAAATTCTGTGCAGCATCCCAGAAGCAGCTGAAATGTTCCTCCACAGTGTCTGTTGTTGGAAATATTCCCCTTTGTGTGAACACCCATGTCACTCTAATTTTTTAATGACATGCATTACATTTCTTATTAATTTTTGTATGTTTCTTATCCATACAGTACCATATGATTTAATATTTAAACTAGGACATTTTTGAGAGTGAAAGGCAGTGGTATTAATACTTATGCCAGGCTGGGTGGCAGAAGGCAGACATACCTTGGGCTGTCCAGGACATGTGGCTACTGTACTTATCTCCTTTTCTGGGATGTCTGATGAATCATCTTTCTATTCCACAAAGTACCTGTAACTCTGTTGGTGATAATAGTGATGCACAAATATTTTTTAAAAGAGTTAGCAAATAACACCTGGACATAGGCAGTGAATTATTTTTGTTATTTATAAATTCCTTTAATTTGAAGAATTGAAAATGCTCATCTGTTTTCTAAGAAATAATCTAATTTGTCTCCTTAAGTAGGAGGTCAGTGAGTGAGAGGAGTGTTTGCCATGTGCATACAGAGAATCCTACTAACTATGAAGGGAAATAAAACTGATAAGAGGATTGATTTGAAAAATTAGTGCACTATTTCCAAATTTTCTACAGAAGTACAAATCGTTCATATATATTTATCTGTCTTTTTTAAAGTATAAAATACTTTTTAGAAGCTTCTCTAATTAAAATCATTAAAACCACCATGTCTATTATAAGTTAGTGCATGGAGTGTTGTGATTGTTACGAAGCCAAAGTACACTACAGCACAGCTCAGCCTAGTGCTCATTTGCCTTTACTTTCCCTAAATGATATTTTTCTTTAATGTATTTTATAATTTGACATTGTTCTTTCCTAACTCTAAAAACTTTATATTTCTTCAAAGCTCAGCAAGGAGGCATGTGGCTGATGTCACATGGGGTACCTTGGGAGTAGGCCATATATCATGGACAATCAGAATAATTGACACTATGCATTTTGATACTATGCCAAAGATATCAAATTAAGTTTATGTCAAAAGAAGTGTTTTTTTTTTTTTTTGGTTGGTTATAATATATTCTGAGAATTGGCATTCTAAGGGGTTATGTAAAACCTCTCTGTACGTCTGTCTTTCTGTGGTGCCAAACTATCTAGCTAGCTATCATCCATTTATTTATCATTTATCTCCTATGTACTATATTCAGTGGCATATTATATTTGATTCTTTATTTTTGGACAGCAGAATCTTATATGGGTTGTTAGGTACCTTTTATATTTTTGCTTTATTATTTCTAAATTCAAAGGGAATTAAATTGTTACTAAATGGTATTTTGAAACTTCTCTTTGGTGTCAAAACTTTTGTTTTTGTGCATATATAAAATAATATGAATTCAAACTTTCTTGCTGTTTTAAACTAACCACGTTATTGAGCTAATTACCAGGGATTATCAAGGCAGATCACTTTGATGGTGAGGAGACAACCCTCAGTAGCCAGATGATATCAGTTTGACAAGCTGTGGGATATTGCTTGTGGTGAAAGGCAGGCCCGCCTTGGCAGTACTTGTGTCTTATGCAACATACTTTGCTGCGGGCATCAAATCTAAGCTGTTCATTTGCATAGATTTTCAGAGTTTTACCGGGAGCAAGGCATGATAAATTGTATTTACATTCTACAAAATGAATGTAATGTTATCGAATTTACTAGATAAGTGCCTGTCTTAAGGACATAAATATCATCTGACTAGAGGCAAATGGATATGAAGAAGTAGGTTTCTTTGTTTGTTTTGTTTTGTTTTTGTCTTTTGTTATTAAAGAAACAGGGAAAGGAGTTAAATTTGAGAACTGTGCTCACTCTGGTCATACAGCATTCTAAAAGACATATGTATGGATCAAGAACTAATATTCACAGGATTTGAGGGCTTTTAGGATTCTTTGTAATTGGGAGAGACATGTTTATGCTGTTTAGGTCAATAAACAATACCGAGAGTCTGCTGTGAACCAGGTACTATCTTGAGTCTAAACAGTGAACGATAAGGATCAGTAATTCACAATCCTTGTTGTCAGGATGTGCTTACAGCTCCATTATAGGAGACATATCTGCAAACAAAACTATGATATAAATTATTAAGTGCTATGGCAAAAATACACACTAGTACCATGGGGTATAGGTAAGACACGCTTGGTTCAGTGGGAGCAGGAGCAGGGCAAGGAATACTTTTCTGAAGGATATGAATTCTCTTTTAATAGAGTCAAAAGGATGAGTAAGAATCAGATGGGCTGAAAAAGGGAGTGGCAGGCTGTAGGAAAGGGATTCAGAGGTTGAGGGACCAGCAAAAGTATGGGGCTGAGAAGCAGCAGGCATGTGGTATGGCAAAGAACTGCAAGACCTTTGGCTTGACAGGAACATAAAATTGGAGGTTAATAGAGTAGAGGCAAAAGATAAATTGAAGAAATTTTTAGTCAATTAAAAACCAACAAAACCTGGTGACAGCACATAGGGTGTGATATTAATATAAAGGATGAAATGATGGTAACTCATAGGTCTCTGGCTTAGACAGTGTTAGAGCTTCCATTAGCCCAGAAGGTGTCATTGTTTGAATTAGAAGAAGATGCATTTTCTTCTGGAATGATCCAACATGTGGCAGGGGAATAATGTGTGTAGAGCCCAGGGTAGATTTTGGCCTCCACTTGCCCCTATGCTTGGTGCTCTTGGGCAGCGCACAGTCTAAACAACTGTAAGAGGCAGCTGTGGGCAAGTGGGTAGCTAGTCATCATTAGTAGAAATAGAAGGAGAGTGTGGAACTGAGAGGCAGTTGAGGGGGAAAATAATGTATTTGCTTTTGAACATATTAAGTTTGTGCTATTTGAAGGGGCATTGTTCAGATGGAAATATCAATAAAGAAGTTGCATATATAATCTTAAAGCACTGGAGACTATAGATGACTCAGGGCTATTAAACTTTTTTTAAAATTGCATTTCAATTGTTAAATTATTCAAAGTGAATGACGTTTTGAATTATAGCTCCAGTGGTACTTGTATGGTACTGGTGGTTGGCTCTCCAAAATGGTTGAACTGCTCTACAAAAAACTCATTTCAAATAACTTTTCAAGGAATATCTACCACTGTTTATTAATATACAGAAGAATGGTCATGATGAATTGGATTGGTGAAATTTCTTTCTTATTTTCTGTTTCAGATTGCTGTGCTATGCCTTGTGTGATTAAGACTTCCTACCAAGAATACCTGTCAGACCATGTGAGTATAGAAACTAGACAGGGAGATTGCACTGACTCCTAATTGATTAGGTCTCAGCTAGGCATAAAAGCAAACATTTTGTTCCAGATAAGACCAAAAGCAATAATATGTATTTTCTTTCTGATACAAATTCTAGATTAGGTAGAAAACTCATCTCTCTCATTATTATTATTATTATTATTATTATATTAGGGAGTATAAAACCAACAGTGAAATTTTTGTCAGCTTGTTATTAGGTTATTTATAGCAACCAATTATGAGAAATATAATTGAAAGCATGTTTTTTCATTTGCTTTTTAATTCCAAAGGGGCAACCTTTCCCAACTTTTTATGTTGCACTAATTTACAGAAAAACACTGCTGAGGAGTGCTGAAGTGGCGATGAAACAGCCCAACAGGAAAAGGAAGCTTAGTATGGATTCCAAAGAGCATCTGGATCAGGACAGATGCTTGGTAAGATGTCAGCTCCTGGACCCTCCGCACAGCGTGTGCTCACCGTTGAAACGCACACAACCAGACTGAGGGTTCTTCAGTCACTCTAAACTCCTGTTTCTGGTTGAGTTTTATGTGTAATGGTATAGAATGCAAGTGTCATTAAAGTCTGGTCCATTTTAAAAGGTAATCTTCACTTTAAAGTTGCAAGGAGACCTTTTCTTTTAGAAAGATGGAGGTACTTGATCTTTAAATAAGAGGATGGAGGTTGTGACACACACACACACACACACACACACACACACACATATATATATATATATATATATATATATATATAGAGAGAGAGAGAGAGAGAGAGAGAGGGGTACGGGGGACTTAAAAAAGAGTTGGCTCAGGCAGTCATGGTGGCTGACGAGTTTGAAATCTGCAGGGCAGGCTGGCAGGCTGGAGGCCCAGGGAAGAGTTGATGTGGCAGTCTGGTGTCTCAGGTTGGTCTGGAGGCAGAGTTCCTTTGTTTTCAGGGGACATAAGTTTTTTTCTCTTAAGGTCTTCAACTGATTGAATGAGACTCACCACATTGTGGAGAGTGGTCTGCTTTACTCAAAGTCTACTGATTTAAATGTTACTCACATCTAAAGAATACCTTCACAGCAACATCTAGACCTAGAGAGTATGGTGTTCACCAGTTACCTTGTCTGTGCTGTTTCCTTATAACAACCTGATGTATTCCTGCAAATTTAAAAGTTAGTAGAGTAACCAGAAGACCTCCATGGTGACTGTTTTTGGGGATAGTGGGTCATTACAGCATTATCATTTGTGACCCTCTCATGGGCTTTCATCGTTTATTTGGATGTATGTCTTGGGGTCTCCATGTGGTTTGTGGTTATACATTTATACATTGTATTTGGCAAAATGACATGAAATAATGCATTTTTTGGTTTGCTGCCAGGTTGGCTGTGGTTTGATGAACTTCAGTTGTTAAATGAGACATCATAGATGACAATCTGGTCTGAGATTGGTTTCAAGATGTTAAAAATAGGTCTGTGTCCAACTCTAGAGCCATTGCCTCAGGATTAGTCTTAGGGTGAGGTGGGGAGATTAACATAGGGCTGAGGTCCAGCTCCCTGGGTCTGGATTGCTTGCATCTCTTAGATCAGTTCCAGGAGAGTTTAGTGCTCTAAATAGGTCCCAGAGAAGATTTTGCTCTTTGAGAGGTTACTTGGATCGGACGTCGCAGGCCTGCATCTGTCTTAGGTTGTGTGAGGATGCCATTCTTCTTAGCATTTTGGTGTGCTGTGTCACACCCTCTGAGGAAACGGTGTATGATGAAATGCAGGATTTGATACGTTCTAAGTTATTCTTGGTTACTGCCTCCCCCAATGTGGTCCCTAGACAAAAAGCCTCAGCATCACTTGGGGGTTTGTGAGAAATGCAAATTCCTTGGCCTCAATCCAGATGGGTTGGGGTTCAGCAGTCTATATTTTAATAATCCAAGTGATTCTGATGCTTGCTCATGTTTGAGAACCATTGTCTTAGGGAAATAGCTGGATACATCTTACCTGTGCATTGTACTATAGTTAATTAATATTTTTCTTAATTTTTTTAGTTTAATATTTAAGACCACCTCCCATCCAAACGTATTTTCTATTTTTCATCAATGTCATTTCTCTATAAGCTGCTAAAATTATTATTATCCTTGCCCAGTACTCAGGTATCTTGCTCCACAACCTGAGTATTTAAACTTCTGACTCACCTACAGTAGCACAAATCCCAATTTGCTGTTTATGCTCAACTCAGTTTGTAACTTAATCCTCATGCCTTTATCATTGTGTCCACCCCACATTGGGATTTTCCCTTTCTTGAATTCCAGAAGTGCGTAACACTTAGGTGTGTAGCTAAGTTTGTATAGCTGAGTTTTTGGAAATATCTGTTAAATGATATTCCTGGTGCTTAATGACATCTCGGTGCAAATGGATTTCTTTGATTGATAGTAAGCAAATAATATTTTAGAGAATTATATTACTACTTTAAGTTTTGAGGTGTTTGGAACATACTCTTATTTTAAAGGATGTTCACATAGGATAATTGAAAAGATGCACATTTAGGGTGAATTCCACAGTGCACTGTCAGTTTGGGGCCCATCGACAGTTACAATGTACATTTTCATTAGATGAATTTAACAGTTTAATACAGCAAGCTATATTCACATCTGGGACTGCCATCACTGTGGAGAGAAAGGTTCAGTTATGCTTGGATTTTGCTAGATTCCTTGAAATATTGATAACATTCTTTACTTTCTGTGTCACCCTTCTGATTTTATAAGTGGCATTTCTAGTCAACCAAGTAAAATCCCATTGACAGAGTAAGCACATAAAACATCAAGCACAGACACAGTTGGGTGTTTCTGAACATCTGCTTCTGAGATCGTAATTTCATATCTTGGTTATATAATAATTTTTAGATGCTAATGTTAATATCTGTCAATGAATGTCTTCCTAGACTAATATTTTCTATGTATTTCTATATAGAATTTAGAAAATATTTATTTGTGCTTTTCAGAACACAGGCATATGGTTAAAAAATCAAATAATACAGAAAGCATTAAAATAAGAAATAAATTCTCCACTGTACCTCCTTACACGTACATTAACCCCATAGTATTTTTCTAAAGATGTGACCACTGTTTATAGTTGCTTGTATAGCTATATAGGAAATAAAAACAAAAAAAGTAAAAAGCCCAAACACTTTGTGCACAATTACACGTACGTACACATTTCCCAGATGGGCTCACATTCTAGTTGTTGTTCTGTACCTTGCTTTTTTTTGCACTTAATTATATATGTATGTCTTGGAGATACACATCTTCTTTTCATTGGTGCACAGTATTCCATTCTTTGAATGTACCATATTTATTTAAACAGTGCCCTACTGTAAACATTTAGGTTGTTTTAATTTTTGTGGTTATGTGAGGGCTGTCTGGAAAGTATAGCCATTATTAATATAATGTCTCTATTTTTCATATTACACGGCTGGATACTTCCAGATAGTCCTTGAACATCATATTACAACTAATGCTCTTATTCATATATCTTTTTGATATACAAATACATTTGCAGTGCATTCGTTGGTAATATCAGCAGAATTATCATACTACAAGGCATGTTGCTTTAAAGTTTTGATAAGTTTTTCCATATCATCTTTGAAAGAGGTTGCCCTAGTTTATCCTCTCCCTAACAGCTTCTGGGAGAGTGCCTCATTTTTCCTGGGTTTTATTACACACTTTATGTCTGTGTTTATTCAGTTCTCCCGTGTGAGTGAACTTTTCTTTATGGTGCTGGTCTCCATAGTGCTATTGCAACCTTTAGGAGGGTGTTTCTCTGCTCCTTTTAGACTATGACATATTATACCTTTTCACAACACCCAGCACAAAGATAACTGTCATTTTGGGTCTCCTTTGCCAGCTTTTCCAACCACCAACTTTGGAATTGACTAGCAAAGTACAGGCAAATAGTAATTGGGGAAACTAAGTGCTTTTTTTTTTCCAAGGTGATTTCATAGCGTGTGTGGGCATTCCGGGGACAAAATCCCAAAATGATATTCAAGCTGTCAAATTTAAAATTTCCTACATAAAAAGACAAGTTTTACAAATACAAAAGGAAATTTTATTTGACCATACAGGAATAAAATATATAGCCTTTAATTGTGTATATAAAATATCTGTTACTAAACAAATGTTAGTTCTCATTTTCCTTCTCCCTCTGAACTTTTTAAAAGCAACAAATCTTTATCTATATGTGAATTATGGACTTCAGGAGACAGAAATATGAGGCATTTTCCATTCTATAAAGGATCTTACAGGATTGTTGAATAAAAGAGAACTAACATGTGTAGAGTAATGTAGAACAACTATGTACCTAAGTAAGCAGTACATCAGTGTTGTAGGGTATGGTCACCCTTCAGAGAAAGGTGGGGTCATTGGGGGCTAGAGTTGGATCTTGAAGGATGAAGAACATCTAAGAATGTTGGTATTTAATGCTTTCTTACACTGTTGTAACAAATGGATTTTAAATCTAGCCTGGTAAATGCAATATGAGAGAATACAAACTTTTATACATATTAATGTCTAGGAGCTTTCTAGCTTTGAGAGATAATTAAGTTGAGGGGTCAGCGTAGGGATTGTCTGGGCCAAGGCAGCAGCATGAGCAAGGTATGGGGTTGGGAGAGAAGGTGAAGTGTGTGATCTATGGAGGGATCTTAATTGCTTGTCTGCCTGGAGCAGATGTTGCTATGGGCAGATAGCAACATTGTAGAATGCGCATTGGATGTGGGTCAGAAGATTCCCATTTTAGTCTTTGGCTGTGCCGCTCGTTAGCTATGTGACCAAGGACAAGTCCCTTCACCAGGCTGGGCTCAGTTTGTCTGTAGAACAGAGTCTTGGATTAGAAGATCTTTAAGTGACTTTCTGTATCAGTCAGTCTAAGTTTTGGTGCATAATGAGATTGTAAGGTAACCAGGGTAGATCGGGTGGCATGCTTAGCAGATCTGCCGAGAGAGGAAATAGTGCCCGAGTGATGATCTCCGGCTGTGACAGAGTGACAGCAGGAGCCACGGTGGACCTCAGCACTGGCAGAGTGTAATCAAATGTTTCTTGTAACATCTTTTAGTAGATATTGAGAAAATGTTTGGGGTAGGATTATTTTGGTTTCTTATTTTTTTTCCCCCATTTTGCTGCCTCACACAGGACTAATGTCACTTTGCAACAGCCACTAAAATTCATTAATAGATGAAGGGACTACAGGAAGGTGGTGTTTATAATGCAACCTTATGTTTTTCACTTTTGGTTTTTTGTATATGTCTTAGCCAGTATTCTGGGAGATTTCATTCAGAGACTGTAACTGTGTTATCAAGTATTTGAACAAAATGGAAGCATTTCCTTCTCCCTAAGTCTGCATTCCAGTGGAGCAATGAAGAAAAAAATCCCACAGATTCTTGTATCCAAAAGGTTAATTTCTTTTATC